TTCCTGCTGCTGTACTGGTCTTTCATACAATCAGAAATGGTACTGTGAACCCCTGAAAACTAGCAAGTGTATTTCATGAGTTAATGGGTTTTGTTTAGCCTAAAAAGAAGACTATAAAGAGGGGAATCTGAGTGCTATCTTTAACCACCTAATGGATGATTGCAAAGCTGACGAGTCAGATTCTCAAGCTGCACAGCGAAAGGATTGAGTGGAAATGGTCACAGGCAGCATCAGGAAAATTACCATCAGCTTCCGCGGGAGTTTTGACTGTGACTATTTGGGAGTGGTGAGGAGGGGGGTGCATAGGGGGTGTCTGTGGGAGCTCCATCTCTGGAGCCGCTCTAGACCTGGGTGGACAGAGACTGGTGCAGCCTGAGCAGGGGTCGGGCCCAACGGGCCTCCAGAATTGAATTGTTGTAATTTTGCTTCTTAAAAGGCAGACATGTAAAATCTAGTTAAATTCCAGTTGTTTTTTCTTTTAAATGTTAACTCTCTCAACTTGCTTTTCTGAATATGAAGCCAGGTGGCATTAGTTTGAAAAGTGTCTTAAAAGGTTTTTTTAGTATTTGTGAGGTAAACGTCAGGAGGGTTATGGTCAAGTCATAAGTATTCACTTGCATATTTGCAGCATAATTAATTTAAATGACTGACGGCTTTGGGAGAACAGAGTAAATCATCAGGTATATATTTATTTCTAAGCCTTACCTTTCTTTTCCTTTTTCCTCATAGTGGTGTGGAAGACTTGTGTTCCACGGTGCAGCTGTGAAATTGTTCTGTTTTGAAATTGTTCTGTTAAGTCCACTTGGAGAAAGTCTCTTCTCTCTCTCTCTCTCTCTCTCTCTCTCTCTCTCTCTTTTTTTTTTTTTTTGGCCCTGGGTGTTAATGTTCTGTGCCCCTGCGGCTGTTCGCTCTCTTCAGGGAGGGCAGAGAGGAGAGCTCCCAGCTAGGTGAGGCCCTTGGCCCTGCCGCATGAAAGCCGCCGGCTCCTGCTTCTCGGAGGGGTGCTT